AGGAGGAGGAGGAGGAGGAGGAGGAGGAGGAAGGCTCTGGGGTGTGCGTGACCCCGGCCCTGCTGAAGGCCTGCACGGGCGAGTTCTCCCTCGAGTCCATCCTGCTGCTGCGGCTGCGGGGCCGCGGCATCGCCCACCTGGGCTGCCTGGCCGACTGCTCCAACCTGGAGTGGCTGGACCTGTCCGGGAACGCCATCGCGGCGCTGGCCCCGCTGGCCGCGCTGCGCGCCCTGGCCGTGCTCAACCTGGCGGGCAACCGCGTGGCCAGCGTGGAGCCGCTGCGGGGCTGCCGCAGCCTGCGCCAGCTCAACCTGGCCGGCAACCGGCTGCGCAGCCTGCGCCAGCTGCGCTGCCTGCAGGGCCTGCGGCACCTCGAGAGCCTGCGCCTGCGGGACCCGCTGGCCCGCCTGGGCAACCCGCTCTGCGCCGCGCCCGCCTACCGCGCCGCGCTGGCCGCCATGCTGCCCGGCCTCAAGGCCATCGACGGGCAGCGCGTGGCCGGGCGCGGCAGCGAGCTCTTCCGCCTGTGCCGCGAGCTGGACGCCGCGCTGGACGGCGGGGCCGCGGCCGAGGGGCCAGCGGAGCCCCCCCGGGGCCCCCAGCCCTGGGTGCAGGCCGGGTTCTGGGAGCCGCGGGCGCCGCGCCGCAGCCCCGTGCTGGAGGAGGCCACGCGGCAGCTCGGGGAGGCCCTGCGGGAGTGCCGCGAGCTCGGCCGGCGCGCCGACGACTCCATCGCACAGGCACAGCGGGCGCTCGGCCGCCGGCACGCCGGCAACTACGGCTTCTGAGCCACGGCGGGCCCGGGGGGCACAGCGGGGCTGGGGGGCTCCAAATGGAGCGGGGGGACGCCAAAGGGGGCCGAGGGGGGCTCCAAACGGGGCTGGGGGGCACCCAGAGACACCACAGCCAACACTGGGACTGGGGAACCACCAGAGACACCGGAGCCAGGAGCCCTCGAGTTCTGAGCTGGGGGACTCCATATAGGGTTGGAGGCTTCCAAATGGGGCTGGGGGGAGTCCCAAAACGGGGCTGGGAGGGCACCAGATGGGGCCAGGGGGCACCCAGAGACAACACAGCCAACACTGGGACTCAGACCATCACAGGTGCCACAGCCAGGAGCCCTCAAGTTCTGAGCTGGGGGGGCCTGAAACAGGGCTGAGGGGCTCCCAGAATGGGGGGTCAGGGGGCACCAAATGGGGCTGCGGGGTCCAAATGGGGCTGGGGGGTCTAAAAAGGGCCAGAGGAGCTCCAAATGGGGCTGGCGGGCACCCAGAGATGCCACAACCAGCACTGAGCCCATGAGACCAACCAGAGCCACCACAGCCCAGACGCTTCGAGCTTTGAGCTGAGGGACTCCCAAAATGGGGCTGGGGGGGATCCAAATGGGGCTGGGGGACTTTAAATGGAGTTGAGGGGGCTCCAAATGGGGCTAGGGGACACCCAGAGACAGCACAGCCCAGAGCCCTTGAGTTCTGAGCTGAGGGGCCTGAAACGGGGCTGAGGAGGTCCCAAAATGGGGCTGAGGGGCTCCAAATGGGGATAGGGGGGCACCCAGAGCTACCATAGCCAATACGGGGACCACGAGACCACCCAGAGTCACCACAGACCACTCTGGGTCATGAGACCCCAGAGCCTTCAGCTTTGGACTGGGGGACCCCCAAAGCCACCACAGCCCACACCAGGAAACCACCCAGAGCACCACAGCCTGGCACCTCGGGGTTCTGAGCTGGGGGGTCCCAAACAGGGCTGGGGGGGCGTCCAGAACCACCACGGACCACACCAGGACCAGGAGACCACTCAGAGCCACTGCAGCCAACACTGGGACGGGGAGACCACCCAGAGCCACCACCAGTCTGGTACCTTTGGATTCTGAGCTGGGGGGCCCCAAAAACGAGACTGGAAGACTCCCAGAGCCACCACAGCCCACACCAGGACCGTGAGACCACCTAGAGCCACCACAGCCTGGCACCTTCAGCTTCTGAGCCGTGGGATCCCAAAACCGGGGCTGGGAGACCCCCAGAGCCACCACAGCCTGGCACAGGGTCACCGGGGGACACAGAGGAGCTGCAGGGAGCCTGGCCTTGGCTGCGGGACATCGTGGGGACCGGGGGATGTTGGGGGGACATCCCTGGACAGGGGACATGGTGTCACTGCAGTAAACACGTCCCACCCGCTGGTGTCCCTGTGTCCTGCGGCCTCGGGGGCACTGCCTTGTACCCACTGCTCAGCCCGGGCCCTCTGAGTCCCCCCCATCCCTGGGGACAACGGGCAGGGGGTGGCACGGGGGTGGTGACACGGAGCCCAATTCCCTCCCAGTTCCCGTTGGGAATAAGAGCCGGGACAGCGGAGCCAGCACTGGGTTTACTGGGGAGCGGGGACAGGCAGGAGGGGGGGACACGCCCGGGACCCTCCTCGGTCACGCGGTGCTGGGGGGTGACAAGCGGGGGGTCCGGGACCCCCATGGCAGCGTCCGTCGGTGCTGTGGTGCCTGGAGAGGGGACACGGGGAGGGGGGGCTGTGACAGGACCCCCCATGTCCCTGTGTCCCCATCCCAGGAGGTTCTTCGGCCATGTCCCCATCCGGGGGGATTCTCCATCTGTGTCCCCACATCCCCACCTCAGGGGATTTCTCCAGGCGTGTCCCCTGTCCCCGTCCCAGGGAGTTCTCCCGCCCATGTCCCTGTCCCAGGGGGTGTCCCGACATCCCCATGCCGGGGGGTTCTCTGAAGTGTTCCCATCCTGGGTGTTCTCTCAGTCATGTTCCTGTCCCGTGGTGTCCCCGTGTCCCCATCCCAGGGTGTTCTCCAGGTGTATTCCCATGTTGCCATCCCAGCGGGTTCTCGGGTATGTCCCTGTCCCAGGGTGTCCCTGGGGGTGTCCCCAGGGCTGTCCCCATACCCACCTATGCCGGCAGCCCCCGGGAGAAGGCGAACATTCCAGGCAGGTACAGCGCGTCCCCTCCCTTCCCGGCCTCCTCCACCGCCCGGCACTCGGCCTCATCCCGCTGCCGGATCTCCTGCGGGCACAGCACGGGCTGGCACCGGCCAGGGGCAGGGGGGGACACTGGGGGACACTGGGGGGACAGGGGGCAGCTCACCTTGGCCGCCAGGTGATGGGCGGGGCCGCAGTTGTGGTACTTGTCCAGCACCTTGGGGACGTCGCCGGTGTCGAACTTGTAGCAGGCCAGGCAGGTCGGCTTCCGCTGGGGACACGGCGGGATGTCACCCTCCCCGGGCCGTCCCAGCCCCTGGCACCCACCACTGTCCCCTCCATCCCACCCTGGCACCCGCAGCAGCACGGTGGGGGGAACGGGGGGCCCGGGGGACGTCCAGGGACCGTGTCACACCCAGGATGGGGCCCAAGGGAAGCGACACCCTGGGATGGGCCCTAAGGGAGGGGGGCCACTCCAGCACACGGCTCAAGGAATGGGGACACCCCAGGGTGTGTCCCAGGGGACGGGGAATGTTGCCCAAGGGAGGGGGACACCTTGGAATGTGCCCTAAGGGAGGTGGGGGGACACCTGGGATGTGGCCCAGGGGAGATGGGGACACTCACGGGATGTGGCCCAAGGGAGGGGGGGACACCCCGGGGTGTGGGACGTGCACCGAGGGATGGGAACGCCCCGGGAGGTGCCTCAGGGAAGGGGGGATGCCCCAGGCCGTGCCCCCTCACCCGGTTCTCCACCACGCGGCACTGGCGCTGCGGGCCCCGCTTGCGGCACGACGTCTGCGCCAGGCCCAGCCGGAGCTGCACGAACGTCCCCGAGGGATCCTCCTGCGGGAACATGGGGGGGAGAGCGTGGCAGGGACCCCAAACCCCACAGCCTGCCAGGGGAATCCAGCCCCCCCCAGGAATCCCAAACCCTGGGAGCAACCCAAAGCCCCCAGAGGGACCTCAAATGCCAGGAGGGACCCTGAGCCCCACAGATCCCAACCCCTGGGAGGGACCCCAAACTCCAAAGGGACCCTGAATGCTGCAGACTCCCAGGAAAATCCAGCCCCAGGAATGACCCCAGGGTGGGTGAGTGGCCCAAAGGGGGGGTGCCCAGAGCTCCTGGCTCTTCCTGGATGTGAGTGGTGCTCCAGGGGCAGCGGGATGGACCCGGATCCATTAATGAGTAACTGAGCTCAGCCAGGCCCAGGCAGCGGGGCTGATCCCGGGCACTCCAGGACACCCTGGCACCCACTGCCTACCTGTTCCCTCTGGGACACCTCACCCCACTGCCCTGACCCTCTCATCATTCCCATGGCCATCCTGGATCCCAGTCCTGAACCCTGAATCCCGAAATCCTGGTGCTGATCCCCACCCACCTCCCACTCCCTTGGGGACACTCCAACCCCTTCCCCATTCCCTCTGGCACACCCCAACACCCTCCTCATTCCCATGGCCATCCTGGATCCTTAACCCCAAATCCCGATCCCGAATCCCATTGCTCACCCCCTCAGTGATCCTCTCCACCATCTGCTCCCTCTGGGGCACCCCAGGACACAACAACACCCTCCCTGTTCCTGTGGCCATCCCAAACCCTGGATCCCAGATCCCGAATGCTGTTACTCACCTGCTCGATGATCCTCTCCACCGACTGCTCCGGCTGGGACACCCCAAATACCTCCCCATTCCCTCTGGGACACCCCAACCCTCTCCCCATTCCTTCCAGGACATCCCAACTGCCTCCCCAACCCTCTCCCCATTCCTTCCAGGACATCCCAACTGCCTCCCCAACCCTCTCCCTGTTCCTGTGCCCACCCTGAGCCCCAGATCCTAATTCCAATCCCTGCTCCCCCATTTCATGACCCCCCCCAGCCGCCTGCTCCCTCCTGGACACTCCGTCCCCCTCCCCGCTCCCTCTGGGACACTCGAACCCCCTCCCCGCCCCCTCCCCGTTCCCGTGGCCATCCCGGACCCGCTCCCGGTCCCGCTGCGATCCCGCCGCTCACCCTCTCGATGACCCCGTCCAGCTCCCTCTCCCTGAAGAGGAAATGCACGTTGCTGCGCCCGTGGAAATATTCCAGCACGTCCCGGACCACGCGCCGCTGGAGCGGGGACTGCCCCGCGGCCACCGCGGCCACCGCCAGGGCCAGCGGCAGCCACAGGGACACCGGGAGCCTCATCCCGCCGGGAATGGCCTCACGGAGCCGCCGGCCGCTGGCGTCGGGCTGGCATGAGCCGATTTCCTGGGATCTGCCCCCAAATCCGCCCCCGGGACGGCCCCGCGAGTGACCGGGAGGAGGGGCTGGAATGGGATGGGGGGAGAGACCCCGGGAATGGCGGCGGGGCCCGCGGGAATCACGGCCCGCCCTCGGGAATGGGCTCCTGCCCACGGGAGTGGCTCCTGCTCCCCGGGAACAAACTCCTGCACCCCCGGGAATGGGCTTCGGCGCCCCGGGAACAAACTCCGGCTCCCGGGAATGGCGTCATGCCGGGAATGACATCCCGGGAACCAACTCCAGCCCTCTGGAATGGCTTCATATCCCACTGGGAATGACGTCCTGCCCCCGGGAACAACCTCCTGAGCCCCAGAAATAGCTTCATGTCCCACTGGGAATGGCATCCTGCCCCTGGGAACAAACTCCTGCCCCCGGGAATGGGCTCCACGCCCTGGGAACAGGCTCCTGCCCCCCGGGAATGGATTCATGTCCCATTGGGAATGACACTGTGCCCCTGGGAATGTCTCCTGCCCCCAGGAACGGGCTCCTGAACACAAGGAATGGCCACCAGCCCACTGGGAACAACCTTCTGCCCCTGGGAATGTCATCACATCCTGCTGGGAATGACGTCCTGCCCCCAGGAACAGACTCCTGCTAATGAGCATAGACTCCTGGCCACTGGGAATGGTGTCATGTCCCTGGGAATGGGCTCCTTCCCCTGGGAACGGGATCGTGCTCCCGGGAACAGCCCCTGAACCCCAGG